GGTAGGTGTTTCGCGCTGCTAGAAAGTCCTTCTTATATAGGTAAGCTTCTTGCATAGAAGTCTCTTTTAGGTCGTCTATATAAGAAGAGGAGTAAATATTTCTATTTGTTATAATTAACTAAAATAGTGGTTTTGTGTAGATTAAAAATAGGATTAGAGAAGCGGGGCTGCCTTGGGGCGTACTAGTGTTTACCTCCTGTAGATCTTCTACTTGGCCATCAAAGGATAGCTCTAGTAGTCTGTTTTCTAGGAAGGATTTAGTCCAGGATAGCAGGCAGCAAACAAGCGACATACTTACTACGCGAACAAGCGGCCGAGCCTTCTCCTGCAACCAGCTGAGATCTGCGAAACATGATTGGTGGGCCTCACCATGCACATGGCTGACCCTCCCAGGCCCGAGATCCTTTGAGAATCTTTGACGAGCCGCTACTTGGTTGGTGCAGGGCTGTCTCCCCTTGGCACTGACACTGGCACTGGTGTAGCAGGAGAGGGGGAAGCTCATACGGCGATAGAGCCACAGTCACGACTTCAGTCCGTACTATGCATTTCCGAGTTCGTAAGTAGCATCGTGAGGGTGTTACGGAGAGCTTGTGCTGGCGATGATACCCCCGGAAAACGCGTGAAAGGAGGTCTGGAGGCTGACTTCCCACGTACAATGTGAGCAGGCCGAGAAACGGTCGTCTTTCAGATGGTATTGCATATAGCGTGCGAAAGACTTGTTGAACCTATTAAACCGTATAGTTCATTCGTACCCGTGACCTCAGCGCTCGACACCCAGCTCCTCCAGCAGCGCCTCAACATCGCTCTTCACGTCGTTGACATACAGCCACGAGAGCTTTGTCTTGCCCCCCTCGCTTCCATCGTCGTCCCACCTCAGCTCCTCAGGAATCTTTGCCTTCTCTTCGTTGGACATTCGCATCGAAAGCACCTGCAGCGTCAGCGTGAGTACCTTTTCCATTCTCTTTTGCCGGTAGTCGTTCCACGCCTTCAGTGCGTCTGTCAATGCGACTTTGCCGTCGGCGTTTGCTAGCATCAAACCAAGACTATATCCGTCTTCAAAGGCTTGGTTGGCGCCCTGGCCTATGGATGGTGGAATGCCGTGTGCGGCGTCTCCGAGCATGATGACCCGCCCGGTGGATGAGTACCAGCGCTCCATTTTGGGGACGCTGTCGAACTGCCAGATGGACAGGGAATGCGTGTCTGGGCTCCTGACTTGAGCTTGTACCGACTGGACGAGTGGAGACCATTCTTCCGTGCTGCGCTGAATCATCTCCATAAGCTTCTCTTTATCATTTGCCAATGCATCCCAGCCCGCTCGATCCTGATTCGGGTACTTGTATTGTCGCCCTGCAAACATCTCGTGTCCTCCGTCGTTCTGCGGCGCCATGATGAAGGAACCCAGTTTGTGCTGAATCGAGGCCGGAAGCGGAAAGTCCGGGGTCAGCAGAGAGAGGTTGGCCGTGGGGAAAGCATACGTGATGCCAAAGACGCCGGAGTATGTAGGATGCACATCCGGATACATGTACGCGCGCACCTTGGAATGCACACCGTCCGCGCCAATCAAGAGGTCTGCTTTCTCCTGCGTGCCATCTGCGAACTGGAAACACACGCCCGACTCGTCTTCCGTCACCACCTTTTCAAACTTGCGCTCATAGTGAATTTCCATGCCGGCTTCTTTGACCAGGCTTCTTAGTTCGCGGATCAAAACCTGCCGTGAAAGACGAATCGCGTCGTACCCGTAGATGTCTTCGCGTCCAAACCAGTACTCGCCTGTGTACTCGAGGTCAGGGTCAGCCAGGAATGTGATGACCTGGGCGCCAAAGCCCCGGGACTTGACGCGGGAATAGACACCGAGAGCATCCAGGACGCACAGAGCGTTGGGCTGCAGCATGATGGCGCCACCTAAGTCGTAATCAGGGTCTCGCAGTTCATAGAATGTTGGGTCGTAGCCATGTTGCTTGAAGACAAGACCGAGTGTGAGTCCTCCAAGGCCAGCGCCAATGATGGCTACGGATGGAGCGGGTGCTAAGGAGCCCATGGTGGCGAGTGAATGTAATGACTGAACGAAGCTGAAGTTTCTCTCTGAATTCTCGCTGCTTAAAAGTAGAAATTGTGTACGGTCTGGAGGCGAACTATCGGAACTTGCATACTGGTCGGCGCACGGCTGCCGAGTCGGAGGCTCGGTACCGGTACAGCGTTTGCCGGTCCGCAGCGTGTATGGGCATGATGGGTATCATGCGGGGATATGCAGGTGATCCTAGTCTATCTTACCAGTTTCTGTGTAGAGTAAACTAGGCTGAAACTATGCCTGAGGCGAGGCGAGTGTGGATATGCGCACTTCCATGCATGCGAGCGTGATGTTGGGTACAATTTTTTCTGGTGGAGCATTACCGCTGCCATCGTTCCTGAAGCAGCACATTCAGTGGCTTGCTTTTGAGGCAGTGCAATGGTTCTCACATTTCAACCCAGATGCTTCTGACGTTATCTTTTGTGTATAGAACTAGTATTGTGGTAAAGAGAAGCGTGTATTTGGAGTGTTTGTGGAACAGGAAGGCGATCCTGCAACTCTCTATAGACGAAAAACTCCATTTTGAAACCAACAGGTGATAGGCGCTTGTCAAGTTTGTCAAGAATTCTAATAAGGGGTACCCTACTTCGATTTGCGTAAACAGACAAAATCAGTGCATAGTTTTCCAGTGGAGTAGAGGCATTGAAATGTCAAATCATACTTCCAGATAATCCCAACGGGGTTTCGAGGAAAACACAGTAGCAATCTCGTCAGGAATCATCGAAACCAGTTTTATATGCCGTGAAATAAATAAGCCATACTTAAAAAACAAAAACCTCCTTCAAGAACTCCAACTGCCCTCCCAACACCTTATCAAGACTAACATTAGCCAAAAAGTCTGCATGCCCTTTCCCCTTGACAATCTCATGCCTCTTCAGCTTCGAATTCATACTTTCAAAGATCTTCCGCTGCAGCTCCGGCGCCACAATCTCATCCTTCTCGGGGGTCAAAATCATGACCGGAGTAGGACTAACAGATTCAAAAATGTGCATTGGCTTCCACTTTGCATGGCGATAGAAGCTCTGGACCGTCATGCGGTCCTTGAAGTTTGGCGCCAGTTTCTTCGCGTTGTGGACCCACGCGGGGAGATGTGCTTTCTGCTCATCGGTGAGATCAACCAGGTACTTGAACATGAGGAGGTGCTCGCCGTTCTGGTTCAACAATGGAATGTAGTCAGGGGCGCTGCCCCGAAGCTGGTTTGCGCGATCCGCGATTGCGAGAGCGACAATGGCTTCTTGGTCGGCGGGGTTGAGACACCAGTTTGGCATTAGGCCTTGGGCGATGACGGCGGCAATGCGCTTGTCGAATGCGGCGGCTTCGAGAGCTATGCCGGAGCTGTAGAAGAATCCCCATACGGCGATGCGGGTTGGGTCGACCCAGCCCTCGTTTTGTAGGAACTATGTATATTATTCTTAGAATCTGGAATGCTCATAGTATGGAAGATGGTGCTTACCGTGACAGCATCATGGTTGTCTTCTGCCATCTTCTGTGGGTCGAGATCGTTTCGAGGCATGCCATCGCTCAGACCTAGAGTACGAGCGTCATAGGCCAGAGCCGTTACGCCATGCTTTCCAAACCATTCTGCAACATCAAGTGCGAATATTTCCTTGGGGCAGTTGAACTAGAAACAAGTCAGCCCTGGTTATATTGTTCATATGTATCGAGATTGACTTACGGCACCGTTGACAATGATAGCAGGACCGCCCTTGGGACCGAGAAACATGCATCCACGTAGAGTCAGGCCATCAATAGTCTTGAACTCGAATTCTTTTCTGTTCTCCGCCATGGCGAGATTGGGACTGATGAACAGCACACTCAGTTTTCGATATGGCGCTTTCGAAAAAATTAATCAATGGATAAATACAGTGAGCTTGAGGGCCCAAGAATACCAGTAAGAAGGTAAGCCTTGGGTTCTATGAGAGCAAGGCGGATGGTGTTTCCAGTCAAATATGTGAAAGAGCCCCAGCGATAGAAGCTCTCGCGGCTAGGGTTGATTGCTCTCGGCCCTCTACGGCCTCTTGGAACTCATTACCGCGTGGCTTTGCATCAGCGAGCAGGACCACATACTTGGGCACCGACTCCGTGACCAACTGCGTTTCCGAGATTTTCAGTCGGTGATGGTGGGTCCAGGCTACGAAGGAGTCGGAGGCTGGGCTGGCTCACTTTCTCCGGTCCGACGCCGACCGGTTGTCCATGCCACGCCCAACTCACCAATTACCACGGAAAATGCACTTTACATGTGAAAAACATGGAAAATACTGAATTTGATTGCCTAAAAATAATGAAAACATGTTTCTACTTTGATCGTGATAAATTGGCGTGTGAGCGAGGTGCCAAGACCTGTTGCAATGCTTCACGTGACTTTGCAACCAATAGTACGTCTGAGTGCATCTCTAAACACGTTTCTACAGCCCGTTATTGTGCTGAAAAGGGGCACAGTTTTGGCTATTATGATGATACACCGTTACGCTGTTCTTCTCGTAGCACTGTTCCAGCATTGTCAAGTATGTAAATGGATAGTTCAGCTATTCTAACTTAAGATAGTGATTCCTAACATCCTACTACATATCTTGCCAATAGCTACGGTATCTCTAAAAATAACCAATATCAACATCTCTATGCAATTTGCCCTCCGCAAAACAACTTAATATGCAGCTCAAGCTGCAAGAAGTTTTGCTCCAGCATGTACCGTTAGTGTTTAAAACATCAACTAGAGACAAATTATAAGTAACCAAATCATAAGGAAAAAATCAATTAAGAAGCTAATCATAATTTACTATCATCTACAGTTTCTTAGCGATGATCAATGCCTGACCGAAACTGGTCAGCGCCTTGACTTCCTTTAGCTCTAACCCAGCACGCTCCAAAAGCTCACGGTAGTCTGCGCGGGACCTTCCCTTAGCTCCATGGCAAATGTGCGAAGAGAGGGCTACGGCCGGTGTGAACAAATCCGCCTCTAGAGGCCCACCTTCGTTCTCCCATCGTAGTCCTTGCACGTAGTCCGAAATGAGCAATACACTGTCAGGTCCCATGGCAGGAGTCTGAGCCGCGAGAATACGCACACAGTCCTCATCGTTCCAGTTGAGGAGACAGAACTGAATGCAATAGACACGGGCGTCTTTGACTGGCTGCTCAGTGAAGAAGTCGTGCACCATGCACTCGATCCCAGCCTCCTTAGCCTTGGTAGCCTTGTCAATGACAACAGCACGGTCCTGCAGAATAATCTTTCCGCCCAGCTTATGCGCTTTCTGCACCTCAAGACACTGGCCACCGTCGCCACCGCCGACATCGACGAAAACCACCTCGTTCACCTTGACATTACGCGCAAAGTCCTTATCGAAATCCACAGCGTTGATCCAACGCGCCATGATGGAGTGCAGGCCAGCCATGTAGCCGTAGAACGCCTCGTGGACCTCCGGCCGGGATTCGACCCAGTCGTAGAAGCTGTTGGTGGTGTGGTGCCCGACTTGGAAGGCCGTCTTCTGACCAGTTTGATCAGGCCCATTCTTGAGAAGACGGTGAAGAGCCCCAAAACCGGGTCCAACCATGTCGTGGAAGGTGGTTGAGGAGTGGACGAAAGATGGATCCGTCATGTTACGGGTGAGCTTCGTGGGCGCATAAAAGCCCTGGCGAGGCTCAATCGCGGAGCCCTCGTAGCAGTGGTAGTCCATGATGGAGCTAACAAGAGATCTGTCCAAACCACTGGTCTTAACAAGGTCGGACAAAGCTACTGGATTGACCTCGCTGCCTTTGACCAAGTTGGCGAGGATGCCATAGTCGTTGCTGATGCGTGCAGTGACCAGAGGTAGGTATGCGAAGATGACGCGTTCCGTGGTCTCGGGTGGTGTTTCCAAAGCGACCGAAGCAAGGCGAGTGAGGCGCTGAAGCTCTAGACGTTGGGTTTCGTCGACTCCTCGGCTTAGAGTCTCTGTACTTTGAACCAGCAGATTGAGCTGCTCAATGAGATAGTTGGAATCGGGTGATGCGTCTCCCATTGTAGCTGAGGTATGAAATGCTAAAAGAAAAGCGGTATTTGAATTGAATAGCTGAGTAGTGTTTGAATAGAAGCTTGCTTGTTAGTTCCTCCTGAAGGAAGTTGCAGAATTAAATATTGAGACGCTCTTTACAGGTATACACTTCAATCAGGATACGGTTAGCGTCGCCAAGACAATACTTACCAACTTATAGTTCGAACAGATAGCGGAAGTCTCGGGAGCGCCGGTTTCATGAGATCCTCTGCCAGATCTGTATCTCCGTCTGACCCGACTTCGCCTTTCACCCGCTTCCGCCAATAGTGCCGATAGTGGAAATTATGGTGTAGGGAACCGATCGGATCCGATCGGTGGTTCATCGGCGGATGCGGAATGCGTGCCATACTATATATGGGAGGCCTTGAATCCCACAACTCGGAACACTGACGGTTTTACCGTATGTGGCCTACGCTGCATCAATGACAGCGGCAGTTACGGTCCAAGTGTGGGGCGATGGAACTAGCGTAGGCTACCAAACACCCCGTAGTCTTCCAAATTAGGAAATTCGGGGACCTAGATTTCCCATCACCCCGAAAACCTCAAATCAAGAATTCATAAGATGACACATTAAAAAGACGTCCCGATTCTACAAGATTTGCCGACAAGTTTAATTCTTCTATATTTCGAATCTACATCGAACACAAACCAAGTTCTCACATACCTGAACTATCGTAATCATCATGGGTAGCTATCCAGAGACCAACCTCCTCTCCATCCCAGAGCCCATCGCCATTGTAGGAACCTCATGTCGGTTTCCAGGTGGTGCAGACTCTCCATCTAAACTATGGAGTCTCCTCAAGAACCCTCAAGACATTGTGCAAGAGATTCCTCCGAGTCGCTTCGACACGAAAGGGTTCTACAACAAAGACAGCCAACACCACGGTGTAAGTCGCTATATTCCACTATTTCCAGCTCAAATTCCGGGTTGATAATTAACTGGGTCATTCACAGAGCTTGAACGCACGACACGCATATCTTTTGCAAGATGATCCCCGAGCATTCGACCGCGACTTCTTCAACATCAGCCCCAAGGAAGCCGAGGCCATGGATCCCCAACAACGCTGTCTCCTCGAGACAGTCTATGAAGGCGTTGAATCGGCCGGATACTCGATACCCCAGCTGCAAGGCTCCGCGACAGGTGTCTTTGTAGGCGCCATGAGCTTCGACTACCAATTTGTTGCTATGCGAGGCTTCGATAGCTTGCCACAGTACCACGCAACCGGTACTTCCATGTCGATCCTGGCGAATCGCCTCTCCTACTTCTTTGACTGGAGAGGTCCGTCTGTAGCTTGAGATACGGCCTGCTCTTCATCTCTTGTGGCACTGCATCAAGCTGTTCTTGCGCTGCGGAACGGTGATGTTAGTATGGCTGTTGCTGCCGGCGCTAATCTTATTCTCGGGCCTGAGCCGTTTATCGCCCTGTCAAACGTATGTTGAACTGTAAAGCTATTAATATACATCAAAGCTGACGAAGGAATTGAAGTTAAACATGCTGTCACCCAACGGCCGTTCATACATGTGGGATTCATCCGGCGACGGCTACACACGAGGCGAAGGCTTCGCTGCCGTTATTCTCAAGACTCTTAGTCAAGCCCTAGCCGACGGTGACCACATTGAATGTATCATCCGTGAGACTGGCGTAAACTCGGATGGGCGGACTCCGGGTAAATGTTCCAACCCTTGTAGTTGTGACAGCATCTGACTCTACTGTAGGCATCACCATGCCGAGCGCAACAGCGCAGGCTCGGCTTATCCGAGAGACATACCAAAGGTGTGGGCTAGACATAAACAGTCCACTTGATCGCCCACAGTACTTTGAGGCCCATGGTACCGGCACACCGGCAGGAGATCGTAAGTGCTTATACAGTCCATCATCGCTTGCTCAATTGAGACGCTGACGTGCGCAGCTATCGAGGCCCGAGCTATACATGAAGCTTTCTTTTCTCATAGTCCGGAACCCCATGACGACCAGGCACCACTCTACGTCGGCTCCATCAAGACTGTTCTTGGCCACACTGAAGGCACTGCCGGCCTCGCTGGAGTCCTTAAGGCATCTCTGGCAGTTCAGAACGGTTCAATTCCAGGAAATCTCCATTTTAAAAACCTGAATCCCAAGATCTGGCCTTTCTACGACAAACTGCGCGTCCCCACCACATTAACGTCATGGCCTAGCCTTCCAGACGGCCAGCCTCACCGCGTCAGCGTCAACAGCTTTGGCTTTGGAGGAACCAACGCGCACGCCATTATCGAAAGCTGGGATGAGAAGCCCGAGCGGTGTCCTTTGAGAACTGCAGAACATGGCGGACTTGTTGTGTTATCTGCCAATTCCGCACAGGCATTGGCAGCAAAGGCTACGTCGCTGGCTGCATACCTTCGAAAGCACCCTGATACAGATATCGACCGGCTCTCACGCACCATGTTCCAGCGCGCTGATTTCCTATACCGAGCCGCCTTTGCAGCCACGTCGACTGCCCAACTTGCAGAGAAACTTGAAGCACGAACTGAGATGTTGAAAAAGACTTCCCGCATTGCGGCAATTCCTAACCACTTGCCGCCCCGCATCCTTGGTGTCTTTACCGGGCAAGGCGCGCAGTGGGCTACTATGGGCAGGGAACTGTACGATGCATCGCCTGTGTTCCGCAAATCCATGGACCGGCTGCAGCGAAGCCTTGACACGCTTCCTCATGGCGAACGCCCAGACTGGACTCTTATCGACGAGCTTTCGCTGTCCAAAGAGACGTCTCGTATTGGTCAAGCCGCCATCTCGCAGCCACTGTGTACTGCTTTGCAGATCGCTCTCATCGATGTCTTGCACGTCATCGGCATCTCCTTTGCTGCCGTTGTTGGCCACTCTTCTGGAGAGATTGCCTGTGCCTATGCAGCAGGGTACCTAGATGCACAGGACGCCATCCGCGTTGCTTATTACCGGGGATTCCACTCACACCTCTCCAAGGGCCCCGACGAGAAACGCGGCAAAATGATGGCTGTGGGACTGAGTCTCGAGCAAGCGTCAGCCTTCTGTAGTGAGTTCGGGTCTGCGCTCAAAGTGGCTGCTAGCAACTCTCCCACCAGTTGCACACTGGCCGGCGATGCGGACGCCATTGATGAAGCCAAAGAGCGGCTAGAGCAGGAAAAGACTTTTGCTCGTGTGCTAGCTGTAGACACCGCATACCATTCTCATCACATGCTTCCCTGCGCCGAACCCTATCTACAGTCGCTACGCAACTGTGGAGTCCGAGCTCTCAGGGGTCCAAAGCGATGTGCTTGGTACTCCAGTGTCTGGGGCCCCAATGGACGCAGCCGCTCTTTCGATAGCAAAGATAGCATGGAGTTGCTCGAAGGCCAGTACTGGGTCGATAACCTAACCAACACGGTCCAGTTCTCGCAAGCAGTATACCGAGCTATTTCCGAAGAGCCCTTCATCATGGACCTCGCACTGGAAGTTGGACCCCACCCTGCTCTCAAGGGACCCAGCTCTGAAGTCATGAAGTCGCTGACTGGGGTTTCCGTTCCATATAGCGGTATTTTGAAACGCGGAGAGAATGCCGTCGAAGCGTTTGCCGATGCTCTAGGACTCATCTGGACGTCTTTCCCATCTCAGAACCCTATCGTCACGTTCGATGGGATGCATCGCGCCTTGCCACAAGCTGGACCAAAGAAGCCTAGCATCCTGAAGAACTTGCCAGGTTACCCATGGGACCATGATAGCCTCATCTGGCGTGAATCGAGGGCTTCTCGCGTGTTCCGCTCTCAGAACCAGCCAAGACACGAGCTCCTCGGTCACCCTGTAACGTTGGGCGAACATAGCAGGCGAGAGGTACACTGGCGCCAGATCTTCAAGCTGGGCGAGCTTCCTTGGGTGACTGGTCATAATATCCAAGGCGAAGTACTTTTCCCAGCCACGGGGTACCTCACAATGGCGTACGAAGCCGCTATACGCCTTGTAGACAATGAGACAGCGCTGCGCCTCGTCGAGTTGCACGATGTGGAGATTGTTCGCGCTATGGGTTTGCCAGAAGATTCCCCCGGCCTCGAGGTTCTCTTCACTGTGTCCGTTACAGGCCAGTCTGACGACTGCGTCACGGCAAAAGTGGCTTGCTACAGCGGCAACGTCAACGTAGCCAAGCTGGATAGTCCTCTTCATGGACTCACAGCTCATTTCTCAGCTGGCGTTAGACTTTGGCTCGGTGAACCCAGCAATAGTTCCCTACCTGGCCGCAACAGACCCCTGCTCCCCATGAATACCCTCGATATGGAGCAGTTCTACTCCTACCTGTCGAAGGTAGGATACAACTACGCGCTGCCTTTCAGAGCAACCAGTGTGGACCGCCATCTCAACCACGCGGTCGTGACGCTTCCATCGCCTCCAGAGACGTCTTCGTCTATTCGTGATGTTACGCATCCCGTAGTCCTCGACACTGCGATTCAAGGAGTCTTGGCCGCATTTTCTTTCCCTGAAGACGGCCGCCTGGACACTGTGTATCTCCCCACACGCATCGACTGCGTCCGCATCAACACATCGTCAACATATAATAGCCCCTTGATGGCAGACAGCGTCTTGACATCGACCGAAGCAAAGGCACTCAAGGGCGACATCGAGGTGTTCAGCGAGAGCGACGCAGCCGTCCACGTGCAAATGCGTGGCGTCCACTACACTGCGCTGAACCAAAACAAAGACCGATGGCTGTACGCAAGCGAGAACTGGGTGCGCGATGCAATCCACGGTATTGAGCCGAGCCAGATGACCAAGCTTTCTCCTGAAGCCGAGGCGTTTGAGAAGCTCCTGACACGCATAGCGTATTTCTATCTGCGCAAGCTCCGCGATCAGATCAAGCCGTCGGAGCTATTGCTCATGAGCAAGCACCGACGCCACATGATGAAGTGGGTCAGAGAGCATCTGTTTCCCCAGATCGAGGCAGGCCAGCGTCCAGATGTCGAAGTGGAATGGGTAAACGACACCCTGGAGGATGTCGAGCGGTGGAGCGCTAGTTACCTTGCAGCTGGCAACAACGACATGCAACTGCTTCATGCCGTCGGGAAGAATCTGCCTGCTATTGCCCGCGGAACGAAGCCTGCGCTACAGGTGTTGCTGACCGACGACATGCTGGACCGTCTGTACGTCGAAGGCACTGGAATCGCGGATGCTAACCTCGACTTTGCCCTGTTGGTGCAGCAGATTGCACACCGCTACCCGCGCATGAATGTCATCGAGGTGGGTGCCGGAACAGGCGGTACCACGCGAGCGGTGCTGTCCTCTTTGGGCGATCAGTATGCGTCGTACACTTATACCGACATCTCAGCCGGATTTTTCGAGCCTGCAAAGGCAAAATTCAGCCAGCACGGCGGAAAGCTCAAGTTCAAAACACTCAACATTGAAAAGGACCCCATGGGCCAAGGCTTTGATGAAGGCTCGTTTGACATGGTTATTGCTTCAAATTGTCTCCACGCTACTCGCAGTCTCCAGGAAACACTGCGCCACTGCCGCCGCTTGCTCCGGCCCGGAGGCTACTTAGTCCTGCTGGAAATCACTCGCGACCATCTCCCTATGTAATTGATCATGGGCACGCTGCCTGGATGGTTCCTGGGTGCAGACGAAGGGCGAGTCTGGGCTCCTACCATCAGTAGTGAGGAGTGGGACGCGTTGCTCAAGGCAAACAGGTTCTCTGGAGTAACTGCAAGCTCGACGCCTTCTTATTGCTCTGTGATAATGTCGCAGGCAGTTGATGATACCTTCCAGCTACTCCAGGGGCCGCTCTCTGTCACTTCTCAGCAGCAGCCGTTGGCATCCAGAGGACCGGTATTGGTTGTTGGTGGTAACAAGTCAGGACTTGGTGCCAGGTCTCAGGAAATACTTGCTTCTCACGGTGCATCATACCTGCATGAGCTTGAGGGCATCGAGGTGCCGAGTGGAGCAGTCGTTCTCTGTCTATCTGACTTGGACAACCCCATCTTTAGTGTCATGACAGAGGCTGCGTTCCAGGGTATACAAACAATCTTCCGGAACGCAAGCATTGTTCTGTGGGTGACGTCTGGAGCGGCTTCGGGCAAAAATCCAATGGCGAACGTAACGGTCGGATTAGGACGAACACTGCTTGCCGAATGCAGTGACTTGAGACTCCAGTTCCTTGACGCGGAAGAGCCTGATTCACTCACTCCGGAATTGCTGGCGACTCTTCTCCTTCGACTTGGCGCAACGGACCAGTCCAACTCCGATGATATCCTCTGGAATCATGAGCCTCATCTTGCACTGAGAGACGGCGCGTTCTACGTACCCAGAGTGCTGCGCCTAGACAGCTTGAACCGCCGCGCTAGTGCGAAGAACCGAAAGCTCACCCAGAGTACCAGTCTTGAGCTCTCTGATACTGGCGTCGAGATGTCTCAACAAGACGGAGCCTTGGAGCTGTTCGATTACCCTGTCGGCGATTGTAGGCCAAGCGAGATTCGTGTACAGGTCATGGCATCATCCATCCATGCTTTTACACTCGATCGCCCGGCGCCCGTTTACTTCTGGATTGGTCACGATGTCCATTCTAAAGACAGAGTCATGGGCTTTTCGGAATTCAACCGCTCCATAATCACGGCTACGGAAGATCAGATCTTTTACCGTGGAGACAATGTCAGCACACAAGACAAGCGGGATTCAGATGCTGAGCAGCTGCACCGATTCATCGTACAAGCGATGGCTGCATCTCTTCTCGGTAATTTTGAGGCACCCATCTGGGTACACGGCGCTCCAAACCACTTCAAGCCGGCCATTACTCGTGCTGCCCACGAAGCCAATGTCTCAGTGTCCCTGACGACATCAGATATTGCAAGCGCTCAAGACGAGGGTTTCATCCACCCGTACATCAGCAAGCGAGATCTTCAGTCACTTGTCCCAAGATGCGTCAAAACACTGATCAACCTGGAGGCCGCGCAAAACGAGGATCTCTCGAAGCTAATGCGAGATTCCCTGCCTTCTTCTACCAAGGTAATCCAGGGTGATGATCTGACGATTCCGATCAGGTGCGAGAAGCTGCGCGAGCTAGCCCAGGTTATTGGTCATGACGAAATCAAGGGCGCAAGTCACGCAGACCATGTCACATCCATTGGAGAGCTGACAGAAGACAAAGTCAAAGCATTGAGCCAAGGGGCTGTCATAGACTGGCGCACTACCGATAGCGTCACCACGACTGTTCGACCTCTGGATCAAAGCGGGCTCTTCGATGCCAACAAGACCTACATCCTTTTCGGCATGACAGGGGACGTCGGCATATCTGTTGCTGCATGGATGGTTGACCACGGCGCTCGAAACGTAGTGCTGGGTAGCCGAAACCCTAGGGTACCAGAGGGCGTCATTGAATACATGGCTCGAAAAGGAGCCAACCTGTGCGCAGTCAAGGTCGACGTGACCAAGAAGGAAGAGCTGCGAGAAGCGTGTGCCAACATCAAGGCAACCATGCCGCCGATTGCGGGTGTCATCAATGGCGCCATGGTTCTCCGAGACCGTCTTTTCGCCCACATGTCCTGGGACGACTTTGAAGCTGTCCTGGCGCCAAAGGTCGCTGGAACTCAGAACCTGGACGAGATTTTCAGCAACGAACAAGATGCGCTGGATTTCTTCATTGTTCTTTCGTCGGCAACATCGCTGGTAGGCATCATAGGCCAGTCTGCCTACAGCGCAGCGAACCATTTTATGTCGAGTCTGGTGCGCCAGCGACATGCTCGTGGTCTAGCTGGTTCCGTTGTGGCAATCGGGTTCCTGACGGGCTTGGGCTACATTTTCCGCTCGGAAAAGGAGCATCTCGATGCTATTGAGAGGTCTCTCCTCCCATAACTGGGCAGACAAGCCGAGACAGACCTGCACGACATGCTCGCGGAGGCGGTTGTGTGCGGTCGACCCAACTCTGGTCAGCCGTCTGAGCTCATCACCGCCATCAAGACAACATTCCCGGATGCGTGGCACGAAGACCCACGCCTCTCATGCTACCTTGTACAGGATAGCGTGGAAGAAGGCACTGATGCCAAAGAAGTCGAGGGCAATGCCAAGGTCGAAGCTCAATTGGCATCGGCCGAGGATCCAAAGCAGTGCTTGACGATTCTGATAAAGTGCTTCAGCGTGGCGCTGGGCAACATGCTCCAGCTCGACCCGGCTCAGATAGCAGTCGACGTCCCTGTTGTCGATCACGGCGTTGACTCTCTGGTCTCGGTCCGTATCCGCGAATGGTTCCTCAAAGAGCTCGGCGTCGACGTGCCGGTACTAAAGCTCATGTCGACCAACCACTCCCTGTCGCGCGTATGCGAGGATGCACTAGCAGGATGGCGGAAGCTTCGTGCAGGGCCCCCAACAGCGTCCCAGACAGAGGCCAAGGACAACGAGCCTCGCCGCGACCCAGAAAAGGACTGGAAAAAGGAGGTGGCCGAGCTCATTAGCGGAATCCGAGGCCTCATCCCGCGAGGCACTGATGCAATGGCGAGCACCGAGCCGCCTCGGACAAACGCTCGCCGGGTCGTTGTTACAGGATGTACAGGGTTCCTGGGCACTCACCTGCTGCGCCATCTGGTCGCCGATGCGAGTGTCGCTGAGGTACATTGTCTGTGTATCCGCTCACGCCATGTACGCGTCCAGGACGCCAAAATCCGTGAATACGCCGGCGACCTAGCCAAGCCGCTGTTGGGACTCTCTGCTACCGACTTCAAGCGCCTCAGTCAGACAGCAGACGTGATCATCCACCTGGGTGCCGATGTCAACCATCTCAAGTCGTACGAGGCGATGCGTGCTGCCAATGTGGTCTCGACACAGACACTGCTTGCCATGGCGATGCCGCGCAGCGTCCCCGTGCACTACATCTCATCCTCGTCGGTGGCCATGCTGCAGAAGGGAACTTCGGAACTCGCAGAAGTGGCGCCCTCGAGCATCTCACCGCCACGTGACGTCGATTCGTTGATGAAGAGCGCCGTGGGTTACGCCGCCAGCAAATGGGTGGGTGGGATGCTGCTTGAAAACGTCGAGGGCCCTCCAACGGTGGTGCATCGCTTTCCCAACATCATGGGCCATGATGCCCCTGAAGAGATTCCCTTGGTAGCTCTCGATCGCTACTGCACCAAGATGCGGGCCGTACCAGCGCTGGATCCCCGCTTGTGGATCGGCCAGCTCGATGTCATCGATGTTGGCCAGGTTGTCCCGGACTTTGTGGAAATGGCGTGGAGCCTGGATTCCCGTGAATCATTCGCCGTACACAACTACTGCAGCAATAACAGTTACTTGCTTTCGGATCTTGCGGGAATGTACAGAGAGAGACTCGGGGCCAATGTTGAGGTTCTGCCGACGCCTGAGTGGATGCGCAGGGCCATCGCGATGGGTATGCCCAAGGGTGTTGAAGCCACATTTGTGGGCCATGACGAAGTGTTTGTGTCGCCTGTTTTGCGCAAGGGTCCGGCCAAGAAATAGATTGTGGATCATAGCAGCAGGTTAATCGAGATTTTTTGAAATTTTTTGTATTGCAAAGTTGTGGTGCTGTGAACAGTAGGATATGTGGGTAACTACTTAGCTAGCAACTAGCACGACTTTTGAGATGAAAGATGATGTTATCACGTGTTCATCAAACTGTCTGCCTTTGTCCATAGTGTAATGTCTTCTTATCGTTTCAAAAGACATGGAGTCTTTCAAGTTTGAGTTGAATTGGCTTTAACTCTGACACTAGGTGATAACTGGGTATTCGACGGTGGGTAGGGGTAGGGTAAGGGTAGAGTAGGGGTGGTCCAAGCTTGGGTAGGGTAGGGGTAGGGTTGCCAAGAAATGGGTAGAGGTAACGTGCAGGGTCAGTAACGTGTTTTATCAGTAAGCGGCCCACATCAGTAAGTGGCCCACCCCACCAAACCTGACGCGATACTCTCCACAACCACCACTATGCCGCGACAACAACGCTCTGTACAGACTTCTCGTGAAGGTAGAGTTCTTCTAGCATCTCGCGCGCTTCAAGAAAAACGTGTTGTAAGCCAGCGCCAAGCTGCTATGCTATACGACGCTCCACGAACAACGCTCCGACGACGCCTCCGCGGTACCAAGCCACGATTAGAGACAGCCTCCGTCAATCGCAAGCTATCAGCTGTCGAAGAGCAGTCTCTTGTTCAATGGATCATAGAGCTAGATCGACGAGGCTTTCCGCCCCATATTATCGACGTGCGACGGATGGCAGACGCTCTACTCGCTGCGCGTGGCCAAGATCCACTCCACAGCCTATTGGCAGATGACTGGGTAGTCGCGTTTTATCCAGA